GGAAAGAGGGAAAGCAAGTACCAGGTCCAGGACTCGAACAGTGGTTGTCCATGTGAAAGTCCAGCACCTTAACCACCACACCATCTGCCAACCCCTGACTTACTTATCTTTTGCAAATGTACTTTTGCAGATATCTGGAGTATGCCATTACTACATTTCCATTCACCTTCAATGAAACGAATGTAATTGAAGCTGTGGCAGAGTCTGAACTTGGACGATACGTCGCGAAGGACTTTCTAGTCAACAATTGGCGAGCTGTGAGTGAAAGGTAGACCTCCTTCTTCCTCATTTGGTCACTGTCTTGGTGCTAGACGTTCAGCTTTGGTCCAGCTAGATTGCAAATGTTCTTCATATCAGCCAGTATGGAAAAGTGTTATTCCTGCATTTGTCTCGCCACAAATTAGAGAAGTCACTCACTCTCCGTCTGGACCTTCTGCATGAAGATAGGTTCACGTGGAATACTCATGTACCTCAGTTTCCCACTGTGCCCTCTGAGAAATTCGTCCTAAGAAACAGAGCTGGGCAGCTGTTGCAGTATGAGTGTACATCCTCCCCTCATTCTGTGAGGTGTGTGGCCACATCTTTACAAACTGCAGTGCTCACTACAACATTGCCCTGAATGTTGCTAATGTCTTTTGTTTTTATATACCTGGACTCTGTATTCCAGAACTTTTTATACTTCTTAACTTCTAAGATTAAATCATCTTGCTTCCTAGCCCTACTGATGGATAAAATATACCTTTAACATATAAAAATCAGACAGCATGCAGGACCAACAGTTAGCGTAATGGCTATGTCACTGGACTCCCATGTAGTCGACCGCGGTTTGAGTCCCGGACCCTGTGGCTTAAAACTCACGCCAGGTGTGTGTGCGTGTGTGCCCAAGATCCTGAGAGGAGAATGGAGGAGAAGGGATTGTGGCATGGCCATCCTCCCTGGGGGGTGATTTCTCGCTTTCTGTCTCTCTGTCTCTCTCTGTCTTTCTGGCAAGTGCATGCACCCTATAGCAAAAACCTCTCCAAAAAAAAAAAAAAGAACAATGTAATTGATATTTCAGAACCTGTCCCTACATTAAGCTGGCCTTTCTCTTGGTCATTTTTTGATCTCTTATTTGTCTGTCTTTAGTTTTCTGGGTATAGTACTCCCTTCAGGACTTTTCCAAGATCTGGTCTGATGTTGGTAAATTCTTCCAGGTTTTGTTTATCTGAGAATTTTTTTTTTTTTGGAGAGGGTTTTTCTATAGGGCGCGTGCGCTCGCCAGACAGACAGAGAGAGACAGAGAGACAGAAAATGAGAAATCACCCCCCAAGGGGGATGGCCACATCGCAATCCCTTCTCCTCCATTCTCCTCTCGGGATCTTGGGCACGCACGCACACGCACCCAGCATGAGATTTAAGCCACCGGGTCCAGGACGCGAACCGCAGTCGACTACGTGGGAGTCCAGCGACATAGCCATTATGCCAACTGCTGGTTCCCTATCTGAGAATGTTTTTATCTTTTCTTCTCACATGAAGGATAATCTTGCCAGGTACAGTATTTTTGGCTGAAACTGTTTTTCACTTAACACTTTGAATATATTTTCCCATTCTTTCCTCCTCACATTGTTTCTGACAAGAGGTCCCATGTTAGCCTGATGGGATATCCTTTGACAGTAACTTGACGTTACCAATTTTAGTATCTTATCTCTGACCATGGTTTTAATCTGGCTAGGATGTGCCTTGGAGAAGATCTTCTTGGGTTAATTCTATGTGGGGTCCTTTGTAAATCTTGAGTCTGGATATTTGAGTGCCTCTCTAGGTTTGGAAAGTTTTCTTCCAGGATTTCATGGAATAGATTATCAATGCCCTGATTAGTTTCTTCACCTTCTGGAAAACCAATTATCTGGATGTTTTTGGGTCTAATGGTATCTAGTGTTACTCATATAGTATTCTCATTTGGGGGATTATTTTCTCACTCTTTTTGGTTAATTTTTCTAGAACAGAGATTATATCTCCTCCATCGGAGATTCAATCTTCTGCATGATCTAATCTGCTTTAATACTTTCAAGGGAGGTTTTGATTTCCTGAATTATAGCCTTCTTCATCAACAGTTTCATTTGATTATTTTTATGTTGTTTATTTCCTCTTTCAGATCATGGAAGAACTTCTTCACCTCCTGGAACTCATTGTCTCTCTCTCCTGCATCTTCCGGAATTTGTTGTCTCTCTTCTCTTGCATTTCTGTTAGGTTTGTCACTATGAATATCCTAAAATCTTTATCTGACATTTTCACGAGTTCCATTGTACTGTCTGTAGATGATGAAGCACTGTTTTTTCCCCTTTGCGGGAGAGAGATATTTTCTTGCCTCTGCAGTGGTGGCTTCTGGTCATCTGATGGATTATATGTTACTTCCTATCTTCTTGGAGTTAATTCTGAGTGTTAGAAGCATGCAGAAGGAGATGACCTGTAATATCTCTGCAGTTCCGTTTCCCTGATCCTCACCAAGCAGCCTGCACTTTTGTCAATACAGCTGGATATTACCAAGGCCTCACAGTTTCAAGGGAATAGGGGCACCTGGGCTAAGCTGCAAGGTTTAAAATATTCAGATATTTTACTACTGTGCACCTAGACCTGCTAGACACAGTGTGTGGAAGGTGAGAAGCAAGGTGAGAAAGTCAGATAAAAGAAAGAAAACAAAGGGGAAAAAAGAAACAATCAAAAGGGAAAAAATATTTTAAAAAAGCCAAAAAAAAAAAAATCAGAACTGCGTGGCACTAGGGAAAACCCTCCTCAGATGCACATGGATTCTGAAATTAACAAGAGAAAGGAGAGGTCAGAGGCAAGGGACAGTACCTACAGATTTAAAAAACAAAACAAAAACATGTGTATAAGAGAGAAAGGGACAGGGAAAAGACACTGAGACAGAGACAGAGACAGACAAAGACAGGTACAGAGACAAGAGGCCTGGGAACGGTCTTCCGAACATGCGAGATTTGTGTGCTGGCAGCCAAATTATCAGTGGGAAATCTTGATTCCTGTTCCCTTCAAATGGCTAGTTTTCCGAATCCATGTGGCTGCGACTTCAGGAAGTCCTCTTCCCATTGCCACTCCTGGGTTGGGAGGGGGAGAGGAAATTATTTTAATAAAATAAGGTGGTAGAGAGGGCAAAGAGCTGAAAAAACGCTTTCCCTTTCAAAATTCTACAAAGCAAAAGTTGAAAAAAAAACAAAGAGAAGGCAGAAACCGAGATAGAGGTAAAGATAGACAAAGACAAGATCAGAGACAGGAGGCCTTGGAGGTGTCTTCTTGCCAATGGAGATTTGTGTCCTGAAGCAAAATTATCAGTGGGAAGTCTGGTATTCTGTTCCCCCAAAATGGCTAATAAAAAATAAAGCCCAGAATAAATGTGTCCTACAAGTATTCACATAATGTGGTTACAGCAGATACAAAACAATCAATGGTTAAGATTCAAACATTCAAAAAGTTAGAAGATACTTTTTATAAATCAGTTTGTCCCTTTGGATAAAAAAGTATATTTTGAATATAACTATATATGGTTCTCTTAGCAAAGTAAATCTATTTGTTAAATATTAATTAAATATTTGCTTAATAATTATTTATTTTATTTTATTTATTTATTCATTTATTTTTTAATTTAACCAGAGAGAGACAGAGGTTGAGAGTGAGAGAGAGAGGAAGTGAGAAAGCAAGCCACCAGATTCAAGACTCGAACCCTGGTCAGCCATGTGGGAGTGTCCAGTGCCTTAACCACCATGCCACCTGCTGGTCCCCATTAATTGAATATTTTTAAAACAACAGAAAAGTGTGGGTTTTTTAAAAGAATTATTTTATTTAACTTTATTTATTTACTTATTTTAATTTGACCAGAGTGGGATAGAGTGAGAGTGAGAGAGAGGAAAAGTGAGAAAGCAAGCTGCCAGGTCCAGGACTTGAACTACTGTCAGCCATGTGGAAGTCCAGCTACCTTAACCACCATGCTACCTGCTGGTCCCAAAGAGTTTGTTTTTAAAGCAGAGATACAAAGTGTGTAGATAAAAGCTCCATATTTCTGGCTTGTCAGTGGGACACATAACGACCCACATGATGAGAAAATTGTCCTGCCTCCTCTTTTGGGTTATCGTCACTCCTGGTTTGCTGCTTTAGAGGGCCCTTTGAATGGCTTACAATTTCAGGGATCCCAAGACCTGGGGGTAAGTTAATAGCTTCTGTTCTTGCGGAAGTCAGTCCCTGCCTTACTACTGAGTGAGAATTTGGGATTGGAGTTTTAAATCAGAACCATTTCTACAGGTCCCCTTCTTGTATGAGGTTCCAGAAACTCGAACGTCATAGAGTAGTCTATTAGCTTCTGTTCTTTCTCCCTGGAGCCCGTAACAAAAGCTCTCCCCGGTGTGCCCGCCAGGGGTCTCCGTGTCGGGCTTGGCCTGGCCTGCAAAGCCGTCCGCCCTGGTGCTGCCTGGGTGGGCTCGCCCAGTCTTTCACTTCAGCCAGTCTTTCACTGCTTTCTTACAGAGCCCCTTGCCGACCTCTAGTACCAATTTTAAAAGTAAAATATTGAGAGTGTTACGGTCTAATCAGTGAGAAGAGGACATCCAGACATAGCCACATTTATTGGAGTTTTGTAGACTAGTAGGCCAGCGACTGTGGGAAGACTCATGTCTCAAAAACCCCACAGCTCTGAGTAGGGGAAAGGGGGCTTATAAAGGCAAAAGCCACATTTGGGTGGACGTGGCAGGAGCAGTAATGGTTGAGCCACGGTGACACGGGGAGGGGTGGAGGTTTCTGTGCTAAGCGGTCACAGAAGCAAGATTAAGCAGGTCAGTCATCCCTAGACCTTCCCTGAAGCACAATGGAATCCTCATGGCCTTTATGGCTAGGGCAAAGGGTTTGGCAGTTGATTGTTCCGTTACTAAGGAGCACCTTCAAGTAGGGAGTTTCGGGTTATTTAGCAAAGACAGTAGGAGTGCTAATCACTGCTTACTCTAGGCAAAAGGAGAAAGCTAGTTTCCAATAGAGAGAGGAGTTAAAAATGGAGGTGCTCGTGCCTCACTGCTTCAAGAGAGCAACTTTTTAAAGAAATAGATCATGGGACCAGCAGATGGTGTCATGGTTACGTTATGGACTCCCATGTTGTTGACTGTGGTTTGAATCCCGGACCTGGAAGCTTAAAACTCACGCCGGGCGCGTGTGCATGCGTGCTCAAAATCCCAAGAAGAAAATGGAGGAGAAGGGATTGCAGCGTGGCCATCCCTCCAGGGGGTGATTTCTTGC